CAATACAGACACAGTCAGGCTATGGCAGACCTGTCATTCAACCTATTGTAAGTCGATGTACCATCACAATGGGTTTTGGTAATATTAAAGGTTGAGAAGTTCCACAGTGTGCCTTTAAAAGTAAAAGATGAACACTTAATGTCTGGCCTTTAACAGTGTCTATGTGGTTATAGACACTTATGATCTGCGAACATTGAAGGCTGTTAATTTTTATTTACCAGCCTTTTTTAATGTAATGTTTCGAAAATTAAAATCAAATGCTGACACATATGAAAAAAAAAAAAAAAACACCATTGCCCATCAAAGAACAGATTGACACATCATTTGATGTTTATTGATCTTTGCTTCTTTTGTGGTTTAAGATAAAGTCCAAAAGGGCTTTTTGGAAGTTAAAGGGATAGTTCACTTTGAAATTAATTTTTGATATGTTTTAGCTTACCTCAAGGGCATCCAAGATGTAGTTGTCTTTGTTTCCACAGTATTTTCAATTTAGACATTTTTCGGTCAAACCGGTGGTAGGGGGTCCACCTCAAAGAGTATGCACAGAGAAGTCAAAAGTAAACATGATTTAATGACTCGTGAATGTAAGTACTCATTGATGGCATAGGACACGAAACGAGCGGTTTGTGTGAGAAACCGAACAGTATTTATATAGTTTTTTACCTCTTGTTAACAGATATGTCGAACTGATCTGAATCAGATGTCCAACTGAACCGAACTGAACCGTTTCCAACGTTACGCCAGAAGTGATCTTTTCGCGCGTCTACGTCACGCATTGTTTACACGGAGATTTCGGAAGTTTTACCTTTCACTAAACATAATTGTACCATATTTTACCCTAATTGTACATATTTTTGTAGCACAATATTTGTTTATTGCACAAAAATAAACTTAAAAAAATGGCAAAAAGGCATTGGCCTTAAAATAATTCTTAAAATTACAAGGTGAGAGGAAACATGACAATTTTGTTAAAGCATTAACAAGAATTGCCGCGAATGATAGGTGAATTTGTGTCAAAATACAGTAAACTTTGATTGAACACACAACCGTTGACAGAAACAAGAACATATATGTTACATTTTTTCTCCTCTCCTTTAATAGTTGATTAACTTAATTGTTGTGACATTCTACAATTACATACTACAGTCAGTATTTTTTATTGTATTATTATTATTATTATTATTATTATTATTATTTTTATTTTTTGCATCCCCAGCGGTTGTGAACCACTCCTTTAGAGACAGTAAGAAAGTAGAGATCTTATATTGGCCATGTTACTGAAATATTTGAAGTCTGTGGATTGCTGAGAGCTCTATTCTGAAGAGGGATGGGGCAGCAAGACTCAGGTCTTGGTACTGGCATGCCAGCACTGATGTTTTTTTATGGATTGATCATTAGCAAGAGTGGAGCACATTAGATTCTCTCAGGACCATGACTGATTCTTCCAGGCCAAAACCTATAATGCAGAAAGAGAAAAGCAGGCTTCTCTCACTGCCTGAGAACAGAGAGATGATGGATGTGAGTGAGTATGCACAGATAAATAAAGAGAGAGAGAGAGAGAGAGAGAGAGAGAGAGAGAGAGAGAGAGAGAGAGAGAGAGAGAGAGAGAGAGAGAGAGAGAGAGAGAGAGAGAGAGAGGAGGAGGAGGAGGATTGTCATACCCCATCAATGTTTACTGTGAATTTGAAGGTGAACTGATTTAGGCCATTGCCACAGGCTCAGTGTTTCTGTTGACCTTCTATATTAATAAATATAAACCATTGCATTTTGTAGCCTGTTCAGAGTTCTTTTTGGTTATTTATTTTATTTGGTAACACTTTATTTTACAGTGTTCTTGTTACTTATTTACCATAGTAATAATAGTAAATTATGCATAATTACATGAAACTAACCTACAACCAAATCCTAATTTGACTCGAACCCCTAAATACATGTAGTTGCTTACTATTACTCAGTACTTAAAAATATAATATATTTAAAATTGTATATACAAATATATTATATTACACTGTAAAAATAACACATTAAAAAAAGCGTGTAATTTTTTTTCACCTTTATTTTAAGGTTCATTTGTACTTACTCAAATAAGTACTGAGGAATATTAAACAACTACAGTACATGTACTAGAGAGTAACGGTTGTCATATTCGATAATGCACTGTTATTACTATAGTAAGTACATGTAGTAACATAACATACATGGTAACACACCTTAAAATAAAGTGTTACCTTGTTATTTGTTTTTCCTCTTTTGCACCATCTTAGTAACATTTATTTAATTAAAAAAAAAGTTATTCTTTCTGGGACCATGATTATGAATAAATGCCGAAATATGTTTGTTGCCTAGAAGCATAATTATATATTGGATATGTTTTTTTTTCTTTCCTTATTTATTAGAAAGATCCACTTTTCCCAGTATTCAGCTACTTCAAACTTCAGATTCAGATAGAATGTTAACTAGGAGACACTAATATTAATCAATAATAGCCTATCATCATAATATTGAAACAGGGAAAATAAATATATATATTATAACATGTATTCACATTTCAATACAATTGTCTGCCATTATTGGACAGACTCTCAGCCATTATTGGACAAACCGATTAATCCAGGTGTGCCTCACCTCAGTAGTCGCAACAACAATAATCAGACACACCTGGATTAATCAGTTTGTCAATAATGGCAGACAGGAAACAAAGGAGCTGGCTGAAGTTCAGGAAGTAGTGCAGCTATAAAGCCAATTAGCCTACATTATAGAATTTTAAATAAAAATGTTTTTAATAAAAGTAACCTTATGGTTGCTATTATGCACTGTCAACATTCTTATCTGTTCAAACGATATCAAACCCCTTACAGATGCCCCAATAAAACGTTAGCCGATGATTAGCGGATAGTTCTGTCAAAGACGAATGATTATGTCGCTTTAAATTCAATTTTCGCGAGGCGATGTATGCTGATCACCTGTCATGTGTGGCGCATGCGCAGAGGGGATGATTGTGAAAGCGGCTATGTCCTCAGTTCCTCGTAACCTCCATCCTAGACGCTGAGCAGCGAAGTCCGACTACCAAACAGCACTAGAGAGACAGAAATGGGAGAATAAATATAGGGATGCTCTCACGCTGCAGGTAGGATGCTGTTTGTACGACTTCAGCTGCCCGTTCAGATGAAAATAATCGTGTTTTTCCATGTGACCACGGTGGCAGTTTTGATGAAAGATGATTGTGAAGTGTGGTAGTAGTGTATTAGGCTACTTCTGGTCTGGAAATGCTTTCGGCTTAGATGCTCTGCAAGAAAGCGGTTTTAATGATGAGGCTGGGAAATCCTCCCATCCTTGATCAAACTGCAGGGCTAGATCAAGGGCGAATGCATCATAATCAGGACAGTGAGGGAACCCTCCATTTCTCACCGTTTGGTCTTTTATTTCCTGTTTGAATGCATGTTATGAGGCGAGATCAGTGTGATTACTATACAGATCGTGACCGTCTGAGATTGATCATCTACCATCTACAATCTCATATTGAATTACCAACCTATTCTACACCATAATATGTTTTGTCTATTGATGAAAAAAAAGAAAAAAAAAGAGGGAAAACATATACTTTTTTTAAATTTTATTTTTTAAATAAAAAACATCCAATCATCTAAATTTTGAAACATTAAGTTTTCTTTCACATAAGATTGCAAAACACCAATTTGTGTTTTACATATGCAGCGAAGGTTTTCCAACCCGGATATGCCGACGTATTATTTCTGTAGATGGGCTATAGATGTTGATTTTGAAGGAGCAGAAGCAGAGCAGAAAATGTCAATATATATTTGTAGGCTGTCTGAAGAGCACAATTTGACTACATAACATTAATATCAGGTTATCGATGTGATTGAACGTTGACGGCGCGCTCTTTACTGAAAAACAAATATGCGTTTGACAAACAAAATACAGACAGAAAGCCCACTCTTTGACTATTTAAAGTTTCTCATCATCATGAATGTGTTCGCATCGAGTTACTGCTGTTGTGAATGGTATACCGTGTTGTATTTCACGCTAAAAGGCAGAGCAATGTGATGCACGCGCTGAGCGTAGAACGCGCTGTCCAAGGTGCTGAAGGGAAACGTCCAAACACCCAGTCAACTGCAGGGGAATGCAGTCTCACGCTTAACACGAAAAATCATAGATTTATTACCGTTACTCATATTAATGCTACATTTTAAGCTGTAATACACATGTGGATGAACAACAGATGTAGTAAAATTGCCATTGCCAAATTGTCTTTAGAATTGTCACTGTAACTGCACTCGTAATTTGTATGGGTTGTAATTCAACTTTAAATCAACGTATTCAACCTATTATTATTTGTATGCTACGGCCTATTATATGTTCCAGATATTGAATGCATTCTGGCATAATGCCATTTGGAAGACCACAGATTAATTATGGAAAAATGATCTTATGAATAATGAAAAAAAAAAAGCTGTATATCATGTAAAGGGTGACTGCATCATGATCAGGACAGTAAGGAAACTTCTGTCCATCACTATTTGCTTTGTTATACCATTTCAATAGATGTGAGTGGGAATAATGGAGATCGTGACTGTATACGATTGATCATCAGCTACCACCACTACATGCTTGCTACCGATTATTGTAAAGTTCTTGACTGTTTTTGTTTGTTTATTTAATCTTATTTTCTACTTTTGCGTTATAATTAGGGTTTTACCTGCTTTGAAGATGACTTACAGTAGCTAGACTTAGCTGGAATTCTTTTTTCTTCATTTTGCTTTAGGCAGAACATAAAATATTTCGAAGACATTTTTAATTGTAATTAAATCATTTTGTTTTTGGAGTCTGGAACTACTAATATTTGATTTGATAATGAGTATGTTATTATGTGTCTGTGTCTGTGTTTGTGTTTGTGCATTAAAGGTATGTATGCATTAAAGACACAATAATGTGTGACTTCTCTTCATTGTCCATTTTCTATTTCCTAAGGGCCACTGGAGGTAGATGTGAGGGATAATTGCAACTGGTGAGAGAAGCCCTCCACTGGGCCCCTCCATCCCAGCCCTCCCTTACACCAACATTCCCCACAGCCAGCATGTTCTCCTCCAACTTTCTGGGTGGGGGGAATCCTCTAAGTGCGATGTCCTCTGCTGTGAACAAGTTCAGTCTTTTTGGGGATGAGGCAACCGAGGAAAAGCAACAACAGCAGCCTCCAGATCCTTCAAAGGAACAGCAGGGGAACGGCCAACCAGCCTCACAGGGACCTCAGAGGCAAAGTGGACAGCAGCTGCAGGGTGTTGGACGGGGAGCCCAAGGAGCTGGACGTGGTGGACCTCAACCACAAGGAGCTGGAAGTGGTGGACCTCAACCACAAGGAGCTGGACGTGGTGGACCTCAACCACAAGGAGCTGGAAGAGGTGGACCTCAACCACAAGGAGCTGGACGTGGTGGACCTCAACCACAAGGAGCTGGAAGAGGTGGACCTCAACCACAAGGAGCTGGACGTGGTGGACCTCAACCACAAGGAGGTGGACGGGGAGGATCTCAACCACAAGGAACTGGACTTGGTGGAACTCAAGCACAAGGAGCTGGACGGGGAGGATCTCAACCACAAGGAGCTGGACGTGGTGGATCTCAACCACAAGGAGCTGGTAGAGGTCTCCCACAGCAGGGAGTGGGGAGGGGGGGATTGTCACAAGGAGCAGGTGGGGATGGATCTCCTAAGCAGGGTGTTGGGAAGGTTGGACCTCAACAACAAGGCCCAAGAGGACCCGGGTCTCATCCAGCAGGTGCACCTGGATCAAGGCCTCCTTCAGCAGAGCCTCAGGGGAAAGATGGTGCTGGGGTGAAATCCCTCTGTCCAGTCTGTAAAAATACAGAACTCAGTTTTAAGTCCAAGGATTCTCCCAACCATAACACCTGCACACAATGTAAATCAGTGGTCTGCAACATGTGTGGGTTCAGTCCTCCAGATGCAACTGTGAGTACAAATTCCTAAGCATGATACATAAAGCAGTGGTATTTGATATGCATGACTCTTTTTTGCGCTCGTTTTTTAATTAAAATAGAAAAAGAATCAAGATATTTTATTTAATAGTGTTATTTTATATAATCAAGATATTTTATGCAAATAGACCTCTCTAGATTTACCCATCAGTTTGTACTATTAGGCGATGGTCACCATTATAATTCCAAGAGCACACTCTCTCTGAAACATGCTTTATTGCTGGGGTTTGCAAACTTTTTCCATTCCAGGACCCACGTAGACAAGAATAATCTATCTCAAGACCCACCAAAATAATAGTAAAGCATGAATGTGAGGTGGGAGGTGTTAGTTCTCTCTAGAGTAGTTTTTTTTTTCCGCATTATAGTATGACATATAAATTTAATTGAAAAATTAATTTTTCATTTGAAAATTAAAATAGTAACCTAATGGCTTCACTAATGTGAAGAAAACTGATTAGTTTTTGTCTAAAATTAGTTTTTGTCTAAAAATTTAAAGAAATCAAACCAAAGGTTTATATAAACAAATATCAAAAAAATAAAAATAAAAATAATAGACTAATAATTTTTTGACAGTATGCCCAGGACCTAGAATTTCAATAATAATAATTATGCTGTGAGTGTTGTTAAACTCATTGCGTTGTTCTTTCGTGTCCATGTGTATACATTTTAAATACTCTTTACATACTGTATATATTTTTCTTATGTGTTGGTAGGTATCAAAATGCATGCAAGGGAACACAGAACAACTCACTACTCTTATGACGAACATATCTCTGAAAGACAACAGCACAGTGTTGAGCAGACGACAGAAATTAATGCGTTTCCCAAAAGCATCGTATGTCTAAGTAGATTGTAAAACCATTGCCACCAATGGTCTCTACAGTCAAGATGCTTCTGGGAAACGCAGCCCAGACCTGAAAGTTTATTCTCGTTAATATTGCGCACCAAACTGCTTAATGAACCGAAGCTGCTCTGAAACAGTGAAAATTGTTATCACAAAAAGTTGCACGTGTGCGTGCGCTTCATGCAACCACATGAAACACAATACTAACATATTTATCTAGCTTTAAATTGCTCTAAGCAATATAGCGATTTCTATTTAACGTTGGTTCATCATGCAACCTGTTTGTATGCGTCACTCATGAAACGTAAATTCAGCTCCAGCCAAAGTATTGATTGCGCGAGCCACCTCTTCCCAATCTGCGACCCACAAATGAGTCGCGACCCACAGTTTGAAAACCCCTGCTTTATTGTACTTTGATGGATGCTGATGATTTTTTATAATACCTTTGTTGATTAGAATTTTTGCTAAGTTGAAAACTAACGATTGTATAACAGACATTTGTATCCTCGATGTACGCAGGCTAAGGAGTGGCTTTGCCTGAATTGCCAGATGCAGAGAGCTCTGGGAGGGGCAGAAAGTGTTGAACCTCCAACGCTAAAAGCCCAGCCACAGTCCAAGGTCTCCGTTCCATCACAGAACCCCGCAAAGAAAGACACACCTCATGGTAAGCAGATGCCTCCATCTGCCAGCCAGCCAACCAAACCAACAGACGGCCAGAAACCGTCAAGCCAGTCTAAAACAAGTGCAGCTCATCCATCGCCGCAGACGTCACAACAAAAGCTTCTTCCACAGCAGGCAACAAAAGATGCTCCTCCTGCCAAAAGTGAGCCACCATCAAAGACTGAGCCCCCTAAAAAAGAAGAAGAGTCCAGTTTCTTTGGCTTTGGTTTTGGTGGCGCTCGGTCCCGCTCTCCCTCTCCACAGCCTGGTGCCTCTACTGTTTCTGGGAAGGTTCTAGGCTTCGGTTCTTCGTTCCTTAGTTCTGCATCCAATTTGATTTCGGCTGTCCAGGATGAGCCCTCGACAACTCCACCAACCTCTCGAAAGGGTTCTGCCGTTTCCCAAACTTCTGCCAAGACCACCACACCCCCTCCTACCAGAAAAGATTCAGAGGGCTCTAAGGGCTCCCCCAATGTTCCTAAATCACAGACACTCGAAGGAAAAAAGCAACAGCAACAAAATAAGCCCCAAGACACTCAAAAACCAATGACAAAGGAATCCTCATCTGCTCAGGCTACTAAAATAGATCAGAGCCCGAAACTTCTTCCCAAAGCCTGTCCACTCTGCAAGGCAGGCCTGAGAAGAGATCCCCCCAACTATAGTACTTGCACTGAATGCAAGGCCACTGTGTGCAATCAGTGTGGATTTAATCCTGTGCCTCATCAAACGGAGGTAAGAAACAGATGAATGTATTTTCTTGCAGTAGGTTCACATTATGGTTTGTGCAATGAACTGTGGGCAGGGAATGTCAAGAGCAATTTCAGAGGACATGTTCTGGGTGATTCCAGTGATTCTGTTGTAAAAGATGGATGTATTTTCTAGTCTCTTTGGTTTGTGTGGAAGCAGTCTTGTGGAAGGCAGAACGAAAATGGCTTTGAGAGAGACAAAATGTGCCTTGATTCTCAATTGATTCAGACTACTCCCATTCTAAACTTACAAAAAATAAAGTGCTTGCACTCTCAAGGCAGAAAAGAAAACATCAATGTGCATATTCACATTGTTTCCTCCTTTTTTTAAGTTATGCTTTAAAGTATTTTTTACAGATCCATTAAGGTTTTGGGTGATAAGTAGATGTTAATCATTGCTTTGTGACTTGTGTTATGAGGTTTAATGATATATCTGGGTCAAACATTGCAGTTAGTGGCTTTTCTATTTTAAATGCAAACGTTCCACGCAGTGTGTTGCTTTCAGCCACTTTCCATATCCAGCATAGTCAAGACTGCTTGGGGAGATAGGTTCAGGATGATCTCATGGGCTTTATTGTTGTCTGTTTTGATCCAAGTGGATATATAATTCTCATTTTGCATCAGACGTTAGTAGATCTACTGTTTCATTCTAAACGCAACTGTCTATCATGTCTTTTATTTTGAAGTTTAAGTTAAGTCTTTTATTTAGAAAACCTTTTGCCATTGTTTGTGGTTTTCCTTTAATTATTTATTTATTTAGTGTTCAAATATAGATGGTCCTAGTAATTGCCATGTGTCATTATGTGCCATTTTATTTGATTTCACTTTATTTTAATGGTCCCTTTAACACATTCCGTTGACTATAATTAACGTTGCTCCTAACTCTCAATAGTAAGTGTTAGTAGAGTGTTAGAGTGTTAGTTGAGTATTAATAGACTGGTAGGGTTAGGGTTAGATTAAGTTGACAGTTGTCAGTAGAGTGTCTGTTGGAAAACCATCATGATAAAGTGTTTGCAAATATTAAGCAGAAAGGCTACTTACACTCTAATGACAGTTAGTTGACATATAGTTGCAATGTTACTTAACAGCATGTTCAAAAGGGTCCATCAAAATAAAGTGTTACCTAAAATAATTTTTTTAAACCACTCCCCTGCTGAAAAATCCAGCTAAAACCAGCCAAGGCTGGTTGGCTGGTTTTGGCTGGTCTCCCAGCCTGGTTAGTTGGTTTATCAGGCTGGTTTTAGAGGGGTTTTGAAAACTTTTTCAGCTGGTCAGGCTGGTCTTAGCTGGTCAAGTTGGTAGCCAGGCTGGGAGACCAGCTTAACCAGCTAAGTCAGGCTGGGAGGCCAGCTTGACCAGCTAAGCCAGGCTGGGTGACCAACTAAAACCAGCTACTTCCAGCTTAAACCAGCTAAGACCAGCCAACCAGCCTAGGCTGGTTTTAGCTGGATTTTTCAGCAGGGTCATTAAATGTCCCTACGACCAGACTGGTTTCATCACTAAAATAGGTGTCCTCAGAAAATATATTTGTGAATGTCGTAAGACATTTATTATTTTATTTTTATATTAATAATAAAAACTAGCTGGCTAATCAGAAGCACTCTGGGTTTGGTTGAAGTTAGCCAACACATCTTGTTACATAACAACACAACATTTTGTTACATTTTACCCTTTATTCATTTTTATCCTGAATGTTGGCATGTCATGCTGAAAATTATTATGGTTTGTTAAGGTACAAATTTAATTTTTACAAATATCATAAATGTCAGTTTGTAGCAGAAATAATGATTGTGTAGATTTGACAAAACACAGACTAACTTTTTTATCATCTTTGGCCATCAGGTTTTATATGAAGGGAATAGTAGTCAAGGCCAGGGATGTATCATGTGCTTAGTCTTAGCAGTGAATCTGCTGTAATAATATATGTTCCTTAGAGAACCCGTATCACCTCTATTGTCATCATCTGGAATACCAGACAGACTGGCCCCTAAATGGCCATTTCATATTCATATTTTAAGATGTGTTGAGCAAAAAACAAAAAAACAAAACAAAAAAACTATTGATTCTGTAATTAAACATTCAGACTTTACTTGCTGCCTGGCAAGGAGACTCCAAGGCTATTGGGTCACATGGACCAGCTGTGTGACGAAAAAACAACAGGCAAAGGATCAATGGGCTCAAAGATAAAATCTAAGACTTTTCCAAGAGAGTTAAAACAACACAGAGATGAGGTGTAGATTACAGGCATCTGACTCTATTGTGCTCAGTGTCAAGCACAGTTTGTTGGAATGAGATAATAGTGAAAATAATATCTCTACAATATGAAGGTCACCTTCATTCATGGCCACAACTGTGTGTTTGGTGTTTTATCATGAAACATTCAAACCTGGGAATTGCCTTAAGTCTAGAGAATGAGCAAATTCAACACATCTGTGTATATTTTTAGTCAATGCTAAAATTGTCTAAACGATTTAGTTTCCTTATTCCTAAAAAAAAGAGTGCTACTGGCTTTCTCCAGAGATTAAATGTAGGCTTCAGGGTGAGCTGTATGCTTGAAGTGTGCATGCAGCACAAATATTGCCATACAGAGGGAAATTAATTTAACCCTCAGCTCACACTCTAAGAATGTAGAGGGATATTTACAGTTTGATTTCACCAACATCACACAACACCGTCACTGCCTGCTGCAGTGCAAATTTAAAACATTTCTGTAATATTTTACTTGTAATATTTTGTGTGTGTGTGCAGTATATATACATATATATGCTCATGTAAACAATCCTACTGTGGGTCTTAGTAATGAATGTTTGTTGTTTATTTTTTATTTGTAACACAAAAGAGCCCATCCACTAAATATTTCAAATAATTTTTATTTGTAGCCAAATGGGACTTTGAAGATCTTCAGAGGACTGCTCTGAAATGAAAATGTTTGTTTCAGCATTCTAGTTTACTGTAAAATACCCTTTTAGGTCATATCAACTGCACTGTAGACTTCTAAAACATCCATTTTTAGAATAATAAAATATTTACATGTGTCTTAAGGCTGGCTTGAGGTGAACATACTCTAGTTTCATCTTCTAGCTTACTGGGAATGTATTTATAAAAGTAGTCATGTAGGCCTCTAGCAGAATATGCATTTTCAGTATACTTTACAGTTGTCTGTAATGTGTAGGAGTAATCCAAGATCATGAAACTTTAGAGTTGTTAAAGTAAGGGCTGGTCTGACATGAACATAATCAAATTTAATCTTGTTAGAAAGAATTCTTAAGAAGTCAAATACTTTGAAACATTCTTTCTAAAAGCCACCAGAGCAAAATTCTGTATGTATGAATGTCATGATCTGTTCTAATATTCAGATATTAATAATCAAATTCAAACTGGTCGGCATTCAGAAATGTCTATTAAAAGACGATATTTTATTAATTGCAACAATAGCCGTCTTCCCATTACAGACTTGCGCTAAACTTTTGCGATATTTTCTAAATGACACTGTTTCAATTAACCAATGTTATGGGACTAAACGTAATTTTTTAGATAAGTCATTCCAAAAATCATGGCAACGGATGTTGGTAGGTTTACGTATAAATTGTTGGTGACGTTACGTAGGACATTCATGTCATTCATTTTTTGTTTTTGCGAAATATGGGAGTTTTTGTTAAATTGACATGTTTCCATTGGGTGTATTTTCAATTCGCAATTTCAATTTGCACACTTTGAAGTGATGGAAACACAGCTATTAAAATAAATTAATAGACATTTGCTGACCAATTTTCCCTTTTCATTATAAGAACAACTTAAAAGACCAAAAAAAAAAGTGTGAGAGAGAGAGAATACAGTATATCACCAATGGTTGAGTCTCTGATGTTGTTTTTACATATTTTTTCAAAGCAATAAGTAGTAATGTTTGTGGTCAACTTAAACCAATCCTGCCAAATCTCATTTGTTTTGAATGTTACAAAAAAGAAACAATGTGAAAAAAAAATGACTCATAATAGATTTTTTTTTTTTTTTTGCAGGCAAAAGAATGGCTTTGCTTAAACTGCCAGACACAGAGAGCGCTGAAAGGAATAGAGCCTCCAGGACAACCCACTGTAAATCCTAGCAAATCTCAAAAAATGGATTCTACTCATGGTCTTTTAGAGAAACAGCCCAATACTTTGCCAACAAAGGCTGGTCATGCCAACCAACCTGTTGCTCAGAAAAAGGAGATGCATGAACAACAGACTAGTGCAGAAGGAGCAAAGCAAGCTCCCTCCCCTAAACTTTTACCGCAGCCAACAGCAAAAAATGCTCCCTCATCTCCCATGTCTAAAGCAGCACCAAAGGCTGAGACTGAGCAAGAACAGTCAGGATTTTTCAGCTTAGGCTTTGGTGGAGCCCGGTCACGATCACCATCCCCTCAGCCTGCTGTTTCCGCCATGTCTGGTAAGGTCCTAGGATTTGGGTCCTCATTTCTGAGCTCAGCATCTAGTCTTATATCATCATCAAGTTCATCAGCAGATGAACCATCTACGACACCACCAACTAATCCCCAAGCATCTTCAGTCTCTCAAACTTCTCCCAAGACCACTACTCCACCAACGTCTTTGAAAGGCTCCACAACATCACAAGGGGCTGCAATATCAGAGAAAGGAAAGGCTAATGAATCAGTTCATAAAGAAGAGAAAAAGACAGAGCCAACTGCTGACCAAAACAACAAAGCACCAATATCTAAAAAATCTGAACCTTCTTCACAGATGCCAAAAACAGTCAAAGGCCCGCAACCCCCACCCAAATCCTGCCCGCTCTGCAAGGTAGAAATAAAAAAGGACCTAGTCAACTACAGCACCTGTACTGAGTGCAAAAACACTGTGTGTAATCTCTGTGGATTCAACCCAACACCCCACCAAACAGAGGTATCAATATGTTGTCTTTTAATATCTTTGAAAAGTTTTGGAATGTTGCATGTGTACATGAGTTAACCAATTTGTCTTATTTATTCAGTTGAAAGAGTGGCTTTGTCTAAACTGTCAGACACAAAGAGCTCTCAAAGGAATGGAGCCACCAGGACCTCCAAAGTTAGAGTCCACAGAACAGCCCAACAAAAACTTTGTTTCTCAACCCCTGGCTTCACCCTCAATCCAAAAGAAAGGTGCTTCTGAATTGAACAAGTTTGACAAGAAAACTGACCCTGCTCAGAAATCATCACAGGACCAACAAAACAAGGCTCTGAATGGTACTCTGCCAATCCAAAAAGCCCAGCAGCAAGAAAATAAAGCCAAATCTGAAGTTCCTGCCAAAACAGCTAAGGAAGAATCTGGATTTTTTGGTTTTGGAGGTGTTAGGTCAAGGTCTCCATCTCCTCAGCCTGCTGTGTCTGCTGTTTCTGGGAAGGTTCTTGGCTTTGGCTCATCCTTTCTCAGCTCAGCATCTAATTTAATATCTTCAGCTGTGCAAGATGAGATATCTACAACACCACCAACCTCCCGCAAAGCTTCAACAGTTTCCCAGAGCTCAACACCACCCACGTCTCGAAAGAGCCCTGCTGGTCCACAGACCACAAACACAGGGGACATAAAACAACCTACCACACGAAAACAAGACACAAAGATATCTGAGTCACTTAATCTAGCCAGCAAATCTTCTGTTAAATCAAAACCAGACCAATCAGTGTCTGTAGAAGTTGATAAAACTCCCTTGCCACTTCCCAAAATCTGTCCACTTTGCAAGGCAGGTATTACCAGTGATCCTCCTAACTTCAGCACCTGCACTGATTGCAAAAACGTTGTGTGTAACCGTTGTGGATTTAACCCAGTGCCTCTTCAAAATGAGGTAAGATGAGATGTTTCTTTTACTCTTTTGGTCATATTTATTTTTATTGAAGAACAGTAGTGTTGATTTGTGGTTGTGATTTTGGCCATGCAGGTGAAGGAATGGCTTTGTTTGAGTTGCCATATAAAGAGAACACATGAGCCTTCAACTCTAAATCCCCAGGTACAGGCTAATACTAACTCGCATCAAGACAAAACAGCTCCATATCAGCCTCATCAAGTAGAAAGTAGAACTGAGGACAAGTCAAAAACAGTACTTGGAAAATCCACTTCTACATCTGCAACACAAGATCCTCCAAAGGAAAAAACACCCACACAAAATGAAACTCTAAAACCTCAACAGCCAAAAGATGGTACTGCTTTAGCCAAATCGGAAACTACAACAAAAAAAGATTCTTCTAAAGAAGATACTGGTTTCTTTGGCTTTGGTTTTAGTAGTGCTCGATCTCGATCCCCTTCGCCTCAACCTGTTGTAACTGAGAAGGTTGTAGGCTTTGGTTCGTCCTTTCTCAGCTCAGCATCTAATCTTATATCTTCAGTAGTTCAGGATGAATCCTCCACAACACCACCAACACCTCGTAAAGGTTCAACAATATCCCAGACCTCTGTGAAGTCTATGACTCCACCCGTCTCTCGTAAGGGTTCGTCAGTTACACAGACCTCTCCCAAAACCACATCTGCGGTTGAAACAGCGTCTTCATCTCGCAAGGAATCTTCAGCATCTCAGGACTCAACAAAAATGCAGGCTGGGGAAAGTAAACCTCTTTCTCAAAAGCAACTGGAAGACAAGAAGTCCCTGCAACCTCAACCTTTCAAAGCACCATCTACACCTTCATCAAAGCCTCAACAAGCTAATAAGTCCTCTCAGTCTCATCCTAAAGAATGCCCACTTTGCAAAGTGGAGCTCAAGAAAGATCCTCCTAATTTCAACACCTGCACTGATTGCAAGAGCATTGTATGCACATTATGTGGGTTTAATCCCATGCCTCATCAAACCGAGGTAAGATTAGAATTTGCTTAATGAGCTGTGGGCTCTACTGTATTAACCTTTAATAGAAAATTTCTTTGACAATATTATCATTCCCCAGCTAGTTCACCGACATTGTAATGCAAATATTTGTATTCAAAGTCAAATCTGTGTTTCTTAGCATTTGCTGTGTGAAAATAATTTTGTCTTGAGTTTCTCAGCCTCTCTCATTTGTTGGCAGGCAAAGGAGTGGGTTTGCTTGACCTGTCAAGTGCAGCGGGCATCAATGCCTTCCAATGCAGAGCAAGCTCAAGCTAAGAAAGTCGACCAAGTGCCAAAGGAGCAGCAAGATGTTCTAGAATCCATGCAGAAGAAACAAAACGCAGAGGAAGCCACCAATACTGGTCAAAAAATAGCTGTAGTTGGGGGAAAGAAGCCCACTGATGTTTCACCACAACAGCTAAATGAACCTAAGACCTCACAGCACATGAAATTGGACGATTCTCAAGAAAAACAAACCAAACTACAACCAAAGGCTCAACCTCATCAAGAGGAGTCTGGATTTTTTGGTTTTGGCTTTGGTGGGGCCCGATCCAGGCCTCCTTCACCTCAGCCTGCTGTTTCTGCTGTGCCTGGGAAAGTTTTAGGCTTTGGTTCATCCTTCCTTAGCACAGCCTCTAATCTGTTATCATCAGCTGTTCAAGATGAACCTTCCACAACACCACCAACCTCCCGCAAAGGTTCATCAGTTTCAGAAACCACAGCTCCCCCCTCCCCCCGTAAAGGCTCTCAGTCATTGTCCAACAGCAGCACTTCATCTAGCTTACAAAAAGGTTCTGAGACCATGCAAGGTTCTCCGAAAGCCTTAAGTAGTAAAGATACTAAACATTCAATTGGACAGAAACAAGAGCAGACAGCGTTACTTCAAAAGGCCGAGGAGTCATCAAATAAAGTGAAAGAGGTTAAATCAGAGACACCAAAGGATTTATCCAAGCCTCTTCCCAAGGTCTGCCCACTTTGCAAGGTGGAGCTCAGGAAAGATCAATGCAACAGCTGCACTGAATGCAAAAATATTGTATGTAACTTGTGTGGGTTCAACCCCATTCCCCATCAAAACGAGGTGAGTAAATACTACTGTTGTGTTGCAAATGTCTTTAAAACAATATGTTAGTTTGTTAAATTCAACATGATATGGAGGTGCATTGACATGCATTAAGGGAATGAATAGTGTAAATTTTGAGTTAATACTGACTTAAATGAAAATCTATCATTATAATATTGGCATCATAATGCAGTTTTTGCATTTCAGTTTCATGTTGCAAAATTATTAATACATTATGCTTTACAAACTACAGGTGATGTGGCTGTGTTTGGCATGTCAAATGCAGAAAGCACCAGAACCTCCTCCTGTGCAGCTTCAGTCACATGCTAAGGAATTTGAACCAGTTAGAATGGATATTCCCACTTCAGATGCTTCACAGAAAAAGCCACATCCTCCAGCAGATACAGTTCAAAAGGATAAGAAACCAGAATTAGCAAAGAAACAAGACAAGAAGCAAACTTCAAAAGAAACAGAACAACCCAGCCAAGAAACAAAAAGAAAGCAACAGCATACTGCAGAAGTTACAAATTCAGAATCTCAAAAAATAGATCCGCAACAAGACAAATCTGGATTATTTGGATTTGGTTTTGGTGGAGCTAGATCTCGATCCCCTTCTCCTCAGCCTTCTGTCTCCGCTGTCTCAGGGAAGGTTCTAGGATTTGGTTCCTCCTTCTTAAGCTCAGCATCTAATTTAATCTCAACAGCTGTTCAAGATGAATCCTTCACATCACCGTCTAGTTCTCGCAAAGCTTCAACAGCTTCTCAAATTTCTGATAAGACACCACCAACCTCTCGCAAAGGTTCTGCAGTTTCTCAAATGTTCAGTAAAATGAATACCAGTCCACCTTCCTCACGAAAGGGGTCTGAAGCTGCTGAAAGCTCTAAAAACAATCTTGACAATACAGATGGGAAAAAAAATAAGGTTGTAGAGAAAGGTGAAGAAGCCACTAAAGGAGCTACACCACAGCAACAAGAACAAGGAGAGATGGAAGATGAAGCTGTATCTGTGTCCTCTGAAGTGTCTAGAGGTAGATCTCAATCTCCTATACTTCCACCTGCTGCATCTGCTGTCTCTGGGAAGGTCCTAGGATTTGGTTCCTCCTTTTTTAGCTCGGCAAGTAATCTGATTTCATCAGCTCTAGATGAGCCTTCAACAACACCACCCACTTCTCGCAAAGGTTCCACAGCTTCCCAGCTATCTGCTAAGACTACAACACCACCTTCTTATCGTAAAAGCTCATCTGTTTCCCAGACTTCAGACAAGAACATCACTTCACCTTCCTCACGAAAGGGCTCTGAAGTTTCTCTGACATCTCTCAAGACCAGCAAACTTACCACTTCCCAAAAAGTATCTGATGCCTCTCCTAAAATGCATCATTCAGATGACAAAAAAGTTAATCCTGAAAATATAGAAGATCACAAAACAGATGAGAAATCTATGGTCAGTCTAGCACAGTCAACAACTGTATCAGTAACAAAAGAAACAGCTGTAACTGAAACAACAAGTACAGAGTCCACTAAATCACTTCCCAAAGCCTGTCCTCTCTGTACAGTCGATTTGCAGAAGGAGCCTCCCAATTATGATACCTGCACCGCGTGCAAAAACACCGTGTGTAATCTATGTGGCTTTAACCCTATGCCGCACGAGACAGAGGTAAGCAGCCATTTTTACATTGAAAAACATAAAAAACACCTTATGCACATTATTAGAATCATTATTTTATTGGTACTTAAGTAGTATTTGGGTATTTGACATTATGGGCACCAGCATTTATAACCTCATATTACCTTAAAGATATGGGTAAATATAGGTATATAGTACATACAGTAATATTTTTGTCACACCACAATTTTTTTTAAAAGTTTCTAAAACTTAATATACATTTCATTTATAATACATATCAATATATGGTTACATGTGTATTGTCAATTTTTTTTATATATGGTAACATAATATAGTTTTGTATATTAATTAGATGCATGTTTATTTTTTGCATTCTAGTTCTTATCATTGTGATAAAATGACCACAGTGCTTGTGGATATGCTGATGTTTAAGCCTCCTCAATCTTAAACTGACTACTAAAATGTTGTTTCAGAAAAAGGAGTGGCTATGTCTGAACTGCCAGATGCAAAGAGCGCAAGCTGAGGCTCACAAAGTACCTCCACCGGTATCACCACTAAAAAAAGTGACACCAGCTCCTGTTCCTCCACAGAAGAAACCACTTCATGACTCCATAGATGCCACTGAAAAAGAAAAGACTGGTCTATCTGCAGGAACAACACCAGGGTCTACTAAGGAAAGTTCAGTTCCATCAACACAGAATCCACCTCAGCAGCAGGACATCAAAAGCCCAGTACAGCCAGCACAGAAGGACGATGATGTATTCACAAAATCTACTGCACTGACAAAGACTGCATCCACAAAAGAAGAGAGTGGCTTTTTTGGTTTTGGACGCTCTAGATCACCATCTCCCCAACCTTCTGCTCCTAGTGTTTCTGGAAAGGTATTTGGATTTGGTTCTTCCCTCTTGAGTTCAGCTTCTAATCTTATATCCTCTTCTGTACAAGATGAAACATCCACACCTTTTGCAACACAGGGGGTTTCAGCAGCTTCTCAAACTCCTGTGAAGACTACATTAACACCAGCTACTTCTCAGAAAGGATCAGCTGATTTGTCACCTAAACATGTAGCTAAATCTGTGGAAGAGAAGCAGAAAGGCCAGAAACCAGAAGATAAAATGACAAAAGTTCAGGAAAAAGCTGTAATGAAAAAGAATGACGACAAATCAGAGCCTCCGAAAACTTGTCCACTTTGTAAGACAGAAATAATTAAGAATCCAGCAAGTTACAACACTTGTACTAATTGCAAGAGCACTGTGTGTAATCTCTGTGGATTCAACCCAATGCCACACCAAACCGAGGTGAGAAAAACTTTACAGATTTGTATGTATGTATGCATGTATGTAGTGGTCTTTATTTCTCACAGTATTATATTGTTACCTTTTATCATCACCCTACAGGTGAAGGAGTGGCTGTGTTTGAACTGCCAGATGCAGAAAACTCCCGAAAGTTCAGTTGTGCAACCTGGACCACAGACTACTAAATTACTTCCAACTGCATCACCACAAAAACAAAGCATTCCGGGTGTTGTTGCAGAGGATCAGAAACTTAATGCTTCTGGGAAACACGACAACCAGAATCTGTCAGATTCAAAACAACCTACATTAGAATCTCAAATGCAGAAAAGTGATATCCTTCCTGCCAAATCTGATCAACCATCGAAATCTGAACCTCCTAAACAGGATTCCGATTTCTTCAGCTTCGGTTTTGGTGGTTCTCATTCAAGGTCACCATCTCCTCAGCCCACTGTGTCTGCCGTCTCTGGGAAAGTTCTAGGCTTCGGCTCATCATTCCTTAGCTCAGCATCCAATCTGATATCCTCAGCTGTCCAGGATGAACCTTCTAAAACTCCACCAACATCTCGCAAAGGGTCTACAGTTTCCCAGACTTCACACAAGACCACACCAACACCCCCCACTTCTCGAAAAGGATCAGTAGCTCCCCAGAATACTAAACTAAATCCACCTGCAGTGGAATCAAAGCCAACCTCTACACCAAACAAAGAACAGGAAAAGCCACCAGATGCTCAAACTTCCAAACCTCTACAAGTTCAAGTAAAAGAGGAGCCTCCAAAAATCTGTCCACTCTGCAAAGAGACCCTCAAGAAGGACCCACAGAACTACAGCTCTTGCACGTCTTGCAAGAACATTGTTTGCAATCTTTGTGGATTTAATCCAAATCCACATCGAACTGAAGTAAGTGTGTTTATATGTATTACATGTAAAGGCTCTCGTTTTGGACAAAAAAAAAATATTGTGTACATATTTCGTAATTTAAGAGACAGAGATAAAGGTAAACATATGGTTACAACTTTATTAGATCAAAGGTGCTACAAATACAGTACATGTGTGACTCTTTTTGAGCGTAAACTTTCTCATGATTTACAGGCAGAAGAGTGGCTGTGTTTGACCTGCCAGATGCAGAGAACTGCAGGACCTCCCACTGGTCAGCCACAACCACAATCTAAAAAAACTATTCCACAAGCATTTCCACAAAAAGAATCAACTTCAGTCTCACCTTCTCCAGAGAAGAAGTCAAGTGTTATAGCTGAGGCAGGCAAGAAAGAGTTTGATTCTTCCAATTCTGCTTTACCATCCAAAGATGAACAGATTAAAGAAGAGTCAAGTTTCTTTGGCTTTGGTTTTGGCGGTGCTCGTTCCCGGTCTCCTTCTCCTCAAACTGCTGTCTCTGATAAGGTTTTTGGTTTTGGGTCCTCCTTCCTCAGCTCAGCATCTAACCTGATCTCTTCGGCTGGTCAGGATGCATCCTCCTCCAAAACTCCACCAACATCTCGCAAGGGATCTACAATTTCCCAGACTTCAAATAAGACTACACCAACACCACCCACTTCTCGGAAGGGATCAGTTGCTCACCAGGAAGCTATACAAAAACTACCAGAAAGCAAATCAAAGCCAGCTGCTATATCAATGCAAGAACAAAAGCCAGTAGAGAAAACCCCAGATCCTCAACTGGCCAAGCCACCACATGCTCCAGAGGAGTTTTCAAAAAATTGTCCACTTTGCAAAGAAACCCTTAGGAAGGACCCACAGAACTATAACTCATGTAGTTCTTGCAAGAAATTTGTTTGTAATCTCTGTGGATTCAATCCCAATCCACATCAAACCGAGGTACCATTTCAATGTATTTTGCAATTATATGTTATTATAATGCAACTAGGAATTCATTTGTATAGGTTTTGACTTGAATTATGTTTAATGGTTTAATTCCCTTTTTAAAATAATCAACAGGTGAAGGAGTGGCTATGCTTGAACTGCCAGGTAAACAGAACTTCAGGACCCTCTCCTTCTCAGCCACAATCACAATCTAACAAAATACAACCAGCATCTCCACAAAAGAAAGTGACCCCAGATCAACCTTCTCCAGAAAATAAGCAGAGTGATCTTGCCAAGCAGGACAAGAAACCTACAGCAGAAGCTAAACAACCTACAATTACTCCTGAATCAAATGCTCAAAAGTCTAAAGGTGATGAATCTCCTTCCAAACCTGCTCTGTCATATAAAGTTGAACAGAATAAGAAAGAGTCTGGTTTCTTTGGCTTTGGAGGTGCTCAATCTCGGCCACCTTCTCCTCAATCTGCTGTCTCTGAGAAAGTTCTGGGTTTTGGGTCCTCCTTCCTCAGTTCAGCATCTAATCTGATATCTTCAGCCGTTAAGGATGAGTCGTCCACCAAAACTCCACCAAGTTCTCGTAAGGGATCCACTGTGTCCCAAAGTTCTATTAAGACAACACCAACACCTCCAATTTCTAGAAAAGGTTCAGAAGCTTCACAAGCCTCACAAAAAAATAAACTGGCAGAAGAGGCCAAACGTACTGCTGTACAGAAACAGGATGAAAAAATGAAGACAGTGGAGAATAAACCACAAGATGAAATTTCCAAAGAAGCAGTCACTAATGTGAAGATTAACGAACCAGCCCTGGAGCTTCCAAAAGCCTGTCCACTCTGTAAAATGGACTTAAAGAGGGATCCTCCAAATTATAACACCTGCACTGAATGCAAGAACACGGTGTGCAATCTTTGTGGATTTAATCCCATGCCACATCAAAATGAGGTAAGGGTACTTTTTTTTCTGCATGAGTTGGACATTCATCAGTTATTGCATTAATTTCTCCTAAATTTTCCCAATTATTATCCTACAGGTTAAGGAATGGCTGTGTTTGAACTGCCAGGAAAAGAAAGCACAAGGATTCTCCTCTACCCAACCACAGCCCCAGGTTAGCAAAGCATCTCAACCAACAATGCCAGAAAAAAAGGAGGCTATCATACCTACTCCAATGTCAGTTTCTCCACAAAATACGCTAGATGTCATTGAGAAGAAAATTACATCAATTGCTACAAAGAATCAAGAGAACAAACCCATAGAATCTGCAACACAACCAACTGAAATGCCAAAACTTGATCCTTCTACTACAAAATCTGCTGTACCACAGAAACCAGAACCTTCTAAAGAGGACACAGGTTTCTTTAGTTTTGGTTTTGGTGCTCGATCTGAATCCCCTCAGCCATCTGGTACTGTTGTCCCTGGGAAGGTTCTGGGCTTTGGATCCTCCTTTTTGAACTCTGCATCTAATCTAATGTCCTCAGCTGTTCAAGATGAGTCCTCAAAAATGACATCAACTACACAAAAGGCTTCAACATCTGAAACATCTGCAAAGACTGCACTACCACCCACTTATTTGAAGGGATCTATAACTTCTGAAAAAGTTCCACCTAATGTTGACTCAAAAGCACCTGTAACAGAAAAACCAAAGGAGGAAAAAACAGATGAGAAGCAGGTGCAACCGGCTACAGCAGAACCTGAAGCTTTGGTAGTAGCAGCTGTAGCTCCTAATGCAGAGACCAAAACATGTCCTCTTTGCAAAGTGGATCTTAATGTTGGTTCACAGGACACCCCTAACTACAATGCCTGCACTGAGTGCAAGAACTTAGTTTGTAACCTCTGTGGATTCAACCCAACTCCCCATCAAACAGAGGTAAGAGAATACTACTATTGGTAACTACATTTAATCATTTAGCAGACAATTTGATCAAAAACTACTTAAAAATAAGGAGAGCAATAGAAGCAATTAATCTAACTGTTGATAACACTGTTTTAATGAAGCAAATGTGTTGTTTACTTACCTATTATAGAGTGCGGTTTTGTTTAGTGGTTTCAAAGAAAAATCAATATCATGTAAATGTTCCATCCATGTCATGGAAGACATAATTCAAGAAATCATTTTTAATCTCTAATTTCAGGCCAATGAATGGCTGTGTCTTAACTGCCAGACACAGCGAGCATTAAAAGGAATGGAACCAAAAGAACCTTATAAAATAAAGACCAATGAACAACTTGACAATGTCTATACCACAGCACTGCATCCAAGACCAGAAAGTACAACACCAGGGCCACCATCATTTGTCTCAACCAACAGGGTTTCTGGTGTTGCTGAAACCCAAAAGAAAGAGATTCAAGCTGTGGCCATCCCTGACAAAACTAAAAGCTCTGTTTCAGTGAATGTCCAAAAGAAAGAATCACCAAAACTACCAGAGAGTAACGTAAAGGCACAACCTGCATCCTCTCAGAAAGAAGAAACATCAGATCCAAAGAAAGATAAAGAGACTGACACACTGTTAAAAGAGTCTGACAAGTCTCCCAAAAAATCTGATCCAGCTCCGCAGGCAGAACCACCAAAACAGGAACAGAGTTTCTTTGGTTTTGGATTTGGTGGTCCTAAGGTTCAACCTGCTTCCAGTAAGCCATCTGAGTCAACCACTGGGAAACTCTTTGGTTTTGGTGGTCTGACAGAAACAGCTAGATCTCGCTCACCTTCTCCACAGTCTGTTTCTGCTGTGTCTGGGAGAGTTCTGGGATTTGGATCCTCTATATTCAGCTCAGCTTCTAATTTGATTAGCTCTGCTGTTCAGGATGAGCCTTCCACAACACCACCAACTTCTCGAAAAGGATCCATAGCTTCCCAGATGTCTGCTAGGTCTACTCCACCCTCATCGCGCAAAGGATCTGCAGTCGCACAAGACACTAGTAAAATTTCACCTGTTGGAGACACTAAACCACATGCAGTACAAGATGCAGTAAAAACAGTGGAGAAGAAACCAGAAACTAAGCAAGTCACAGCACCCAAATCACCCCAAAAACCTGATCCTAAAGAAGTCAAGACCAATTGCCCATTATGCAAAGTGGAACTCAACATTGGTTCTGAGGATGCCAATAATTTTAACACTTGCACTGAATGCAAGACAACAGTATGCAGCCAATGTGGATTTAATCCACTGCCTAATCAAACAGAGGTAAGACATTTGACCTCTACCTTTTAACATTCCATTCTTGTTGTTATTTACTCCAACAATCAGTAAATATTAACAGTGAGGCTGTATAATTTGGATTGTCATCATATTACAAAAAACTGGAAAAATCAAAAAACAAAAATTAAATGTAAGATATAACTACTCCATCTCATCTTACTCCATTGCAAACGTGCACGGCGCATGATGGAAAACCGAACGCGGGTCAATATATTGTTTTTTTATTAATTTGGTGCTATTTTGCGTGGCTGAGTGAACACCACTGATTTACTGTGTGTGTGTCGCATAAGGTGGCTTTTTGCTGTTTGTAAACAAATTATTTTAAGGAGACAGTGGATTTCCATTATTTTTTTGCCCTGATTCCATGTGTTTGCGCGAATACACTGCAGGCTCACTCTCGCTCGAATCCAAGATAAATCATCAACCATCATCCCATACATGTGTTTTATTTAACTAAATACATCATAATCAGCTAAAACGCATGTCGAGGGTACTTTATTTCCTGAACAAGCGCTCACCCGAGTCCCTGTTACTTTACACGCGGCACGGTTCGAGTGCAACCAAACTCAGACCACCTCCTCCAATTAGACTCGGGTTCGGTATCCCAGTGCGCACCCAGGTCTGCATGACAGCGTTCACATTAGCAATATTTCATTCAAACCATGCCCCGTTCCAAACTAAACTGTCAGTGTGAAAGCACCCTTAAATGAAGTGGCTATTTATTTTATTGTATAAATGTATGAAGCAGCTGTTTTCAGTACTTATTAGGTTTTTTAGATAGAAAAATAACATTAGAGTAGAGGATGTGTGTCTTATTGCCATTGACTGTCCTATAATCATTGCAGGTTGAGGAATGGCTCTGCCTAAGTTGCCAGGTACAACGGGCGCAGGCAGGAATAAATATGTCTGAAAGTCCTATAGTGATGCCTCAGCCAGTTCCCTTAGTGATGGACAACCAAGTTCCTTCCAAAGTTGACAAGGTAGCTACAGCACCAGTTAAGAAACCTGATGAGAAGCCCACCACAGCTGCAGCTGAAAAGAAAGCAGCTCCCGCTCAGGAAATAAAGAAAGATATCTCAATTCCAGGCACTGATGCCAAGACAACTGATATAATCATCCCTAGAAAAGAACCTCAAAATCAAAGTAATAATCAACCAGAACCTGTGAAAACAGAACAACAGCCACTCAAAGACACAACCACTCCTGTAAAATCTGCTCCACCCACCGAGGTCAAACCCCCAAAACAGGAATCAAATTTCTTTGGTTTTGGATTAGGTGGTCCTAAAGCACAGCCTGCTACTAAATCATCTGAGTCAACCACAGGGAAGATCTTCGGTGGCTTTGGTGGTCTGACAGAAACAGCTAGATCTCGCTCACCTTCTCCACAGTCTGTTTCTGCTGTGTCTGGGAGAGTTCTGGGATTTGGATCCTCTATATTCAGCTCAGCTTCTAATTTGATTAGCTCTGCTGTTCAGGATGAGCCTTCCACAACACCACCAACTTCTCGAAAAGGATCCATAGCTTCCCAGATGTCTGCTAGGTCTACTCCACCCTCATCTCGCAAAGGATCTGCAGTCAATCAAGACACTAGTAAAATTCCACCTGTTGGAGACACTAAACCACATGCAGCACAAGATGCAGTAAAAACAGTGGAGAAGAAACCAGAAACTAAGCAAGTCACAGCACCCAAATCGCCCCAAAAACCTGATCCTAAAGAAGTCAAGACCAATTGCCCATTATGCAAAGTGGAACTCAACATTGGTTCTGAGGATGCCAAGAATTTTAACACATGCACTGAATGCAAGACAACAGTATGCAGCCAATGTGGATTTAATCCACTGCCTAATCAAACAGAGGTAAGACATTTAACATCTACTTTTTAACATGTTTAAGATCCATGTTCCATTCTTGTTGTTATTTACTCCAACTATCAGTAAATATTTACAGAGAGCCTGTATAATTTGTATTGTCATCATATTACAAAAAACTGGCTAACTGGAAAACTGGCATTCTGAAAAATAAAAAAAAAACAAAAATTAAATGTAAGATATAACTACTTACTGCATTTTATTAGAAGTACCAAATTAGGAAAAAAACTTACATTGCGATATTTTGTTGTTTTTTTTTTTTTGCGATATATATATTGCAATGTAAAATCAATTTCACCTGATGATTTGAATAGCAGTGTGTCTTGAGGCAGTCGGTTTGTCTAATTATGTAAAATACAAATAAGTTTAACAACAGTATTTGACCCTCACTGGCTTTTTTCTTTGAATTTTACTTAAATGATATGTAAAGTAAGGGTAGAGAAAAACTGTCACACAGTCAATCTTAGGGGGCCTTCACACTGGGCTCATTTGCTGCTGTCTAAGCCAGAGTGCGATTGTTCCCAGTACCCCCCGCAGCGTTGGTCTGGTTTCACATTTAACGTGATTCTATTGAACCCTGCTGCGTTTGCATGCATCTTACTCCATCGCAAACGTGCACGGCGCATGATGTAAAACAGAAAGCGGGTCAATATGTTGTTTTTTATTAATTTGGTGCTATTTTGCGTAGCTGAGTGAACACCACTGATTTACTGTGTGTGTGTCGCTTAAGGTGGCTTTTGCTGTTTGTAAACAGATTCTTTTAAGGAGACTGAATTTACATTGTTTTTTGCCCTGATTCCATGTACTTTGTGCGAATACACTGCAGGCTCACTCTCGCTCGAATCCAAGGTAAATAATCAACCATCATCCCTTACATGCGTTTTATTTAACTAAATGCACCATAATCTGCTAAAACGCATGTCCAGGGTACTTTATTTCCTGAAGAAGCGCGCACCTGAGTCCCTGTTAATTTATACGCGGCACGGTTTGAGTGCAACCAAACTCAGACCACCTCCTCCAATTACTCTCGGGTTCGGTACCCCAGTGGTCACCCAGGTCCGCATAACAGCGTTCACATTAGCGATTTTTCATTCAAACCATGCCCCGTTCTGAACTAAACTGGCAGTGTGAAAGCACCCTTAAATGACGTGGTCATTTATTTTATTGTATAAATGTATGAAGCAGCTGTTTTCAGTAGTTACTAGTTTTTCTAGATAGAAACCTAACATTAGAGTAGAGGATGTGTGTCTTATTGCCATTGACGGTCCTATAATTATTGCAGGTTGAGGAATGGCTCTGCTTAAGTTGCCAGGTACAACGGGCGCAGGCAGGAATAAATGCATCTGAAAGTCCCATAGTGATACCTCAGCCAGTTCCCTTAGTGATGGACAACCAAACTCCTTCCAAAGTTGACAAGGTAGCTACAGCACCAGTCAAGAAACCTGATGAGAAGCCCACCACAGCCGCAGCTGAAAAGAAAGCAGCTCCCGCTCAGGAAATAAAGAAAGAGATCTCAATTCCAGGCACTGATGCCAAGACAACTGATATAATCATCCCTAGAAAAGAACCTCAAAATCAAAGTAATAATCAACCAGAACCTGTGAAAACAGAACAACAGCCACTCAAAGATACAATCACTCCTGTAAAATCTGCTCCATCCACCGAGGTCAAACCCCCAAAACAGGAATCAAATTTCTTTGGTTTTGGATTAGGTGGTCCTAAAGCACAGCCTGCTACTAAATCATCTGAGTCAACCACAGGGAAGATCTTCGGTGGCTTTGGTGGTCTGACAGAAACGGCTAGATCTCGGTCACCCTCACCACAGTCAGTTTCTGCTGTGTCTGGGAAAGTTATGGGCTTTGGATCCTCATTTTTTAGCTCAGCATCAAATTTGATCTCTTCAGCTGTTCAAGATGAGCCATCCACAACACCACCAACTTCACGGAAAGGCTCCACGGTTTCCACTGAGTCTGGTAAAACTGCCACACAACCAGCTTCACGTAAAGGCTCAGTGGCTTCTGCCAAGATTACACCGCCGACATCTCGCAAAGGATCTGTTGCAACAGAACCTAACAAGATACCTCCTGTAAAACAGACCAATCCACCTGTTAAAAAGAAACCAGAGCAGCTCAATGAAGACAAAGTATCTGGGATACCTACTTCAGAAAAGGATATACCTGAAACTATAGAGGATAAATTTGTAAAACGTCCTGAAAGTGTACCTCACCAATCCACCTGCCCGCTCTGTAAAGTGGATCTTAACATGGGCTCACAGGACCCTCCTAATTACAACACCTGCACTGAATGCAAAAGTGTGGTATGTCATCTCTGTGGATTTAACCCCATGCCTCACCTTGCGGAGGTGAGTCATTGACTATTTACCTCTTTTTAAGTCTTTTTTGCTGCTTTTTACAGGAATCGTATCAATTAGTGTCCATTTCATCATTATTTTTATATGTGTCTTTAGTAGATGGATAATACTTCAGACTCTCTCTGGGAGTGTATTTGAAGGTGTCTAGAGAATAAGCTATTTTGATATCTGTCTTGTGTTTTAGCTCTAATGTATGACTTATCAGCCGATGTGCTTAGGTGCATGAGTCTGACAGACAGAAAATCTGTGCTGGTGGGTTCTCCAATGTTCAGTTCATAACCTCTGTTATGCCCACTCATTCTCCAGATGGCTCTTTCCAAATGATTGTAATTTTACTAAAACTCCACAAGGGCTGAGGATGCAGCAGACGAGCCAATAAATGCATTAGTGCTCTGCAGGGACCAATGAGTGATTGGCATCCTTTCAGGTTCAGCCAATAACGGCCAGTGTAGGTTGAGTCACCAAAACCCTGCTAAGAAATCCAAAGCCTGGAAAATGAAAGAGGGCACTATTGTCCCCTTGGTGATTTAAAACTCCTAAGAAATTAAACAATTTAAGATTTAAAAGTTTTGGAGTGGGCAGTAGTCTGTGATGATTTAATACTGCGGTTTGTGTACAAAACAAGTCAATTTCAAATATGTTTTAAGATTATGCATTAAATCTGCATTGCAAATTTAGAAAAAAAACATTTATTTGGCGAGTTGCCCAGGACTAAGCTCGGAGAGCAGAGGCGGTTATCTGCATGAGTAGTATTTATGAGAGCATAGCTTCATGCTAATGCTGAAACGTGCCGAGCGCTGGCTCTGAGGGAAGAATCCCTTTGTTTGGACAAAATGTGTCATTACGTAACAGGCTGATTGAAGAGAGCCACAGCTCACAGCACACTGTGTTCCAGTGGTTTCGCAATATATACCTCTCAACAGCCTTAATATGATAGGATTGGCAGCAACTAGGAAATGGGAAGGGGGTATGCCTCCTGATATTGCAATAAAATGAGCATGTGGAGGTTGGGTGTAGGCTAGGGGTGGGCGGTATATCGAGTTTGTACGATATATCGATAATTTTTTTTTAGAAACTATGTGGAATAAGTTAGTCTGAAAATAGCGGAGAATGCAGTATGAGCTACTGCAGTTAAAGTACATAGTACAATTTTTCCTAAACATGACACAAGCTCATATTAATGGCTTCAAAATAACTGGTAAGATATAGTTAACAAGTTTAAAGTAGCTTGCCCTGTCAGATGCTCTGACAGATACTGTTGCTGACTGACAGATAGCACTGTGTAATGCGTTTGAGATGTGGAGAAGTGTCTTTCTCTTTACACAAATCTTCTCTGCTAAAATCCAAGCTTCCGCGAATGAGCGCAGCCTTGCACTGCGCAAGCATGCCAAACAGTCGGAGCACAATAGAATAGTAGCACAATAATTCTGACTAAAATATACAGATTGCTAAAATATTTGTTGTCAGAAACAATAAATATGCCATATGTGGAATTTTAAACCTACAAGCAAGTATATTTTTATGAAAGTGACCATTAAAGAGGTAATAAAAATGCAGGCTAATATCATTTGTTTGTGTTTTTGTTTTTTATTTCCCTTTTTAATTTAGTCTTTAGTCAATTTAAAAACAAAAACATCATTTTTGTTTTTAGATTGTTATGTTAGACTGTAATGTGATTTTAACTACATTTTTTACACATAATATATTGCATAGCCAGCCTACATTACATTCACTATATTTGTTTCCTTCAATATCAACATTATTTGTAGGATATCATTGGGCAGAATGTGAAATATACAGTATATGTATTTTTAAAATAAATACAGATTTTTTATCCCAAAAGAGAAACATAGAGAATACCAAAATATATTTTATATCACCATTTAACCAAAAAATACAGAGATGATTTTTTTGCCCATATGGCCCAGCCCTAGTATAGGCAGGTAATCAAATGTTTAGTTTGTGCGTACTGATGGACTAAAGCTTCCCCACCATCCGCAGTGTGAACATGGCCACATGTACATGTCAACCGTACACAATGTATGCTAATGTGACTTCCTGTGCTTGTGACCCTAACAAACTGTGTTCATTGCTTTCATCAGAGCTGTGATTGTGGAAGTAATTTAATGAGAGAATGGTTTGATTTATGGATTGGTGATTATTACTGCACAGAAAATGGCATGCATTGATTGTCTGTTCTGTGTAGGCTACTTGTGTGTCTCTATTTCATCTTTTTTTTTTTTAGATTTGAGTTATTTGGAAAGTATAAATGGAATAGAATAGAGATTTAAATTGTAAACTAATCAGTAAACACTTGACTGTGCCAGGAAAGCAGTTTACTCCCTAAAATATACTCCCAACAGCAGCTTCATTCTCACAAACCACAGTAGATATTTTGACAGTTAGCTTGCATCTGCTGTCCACGCTAATCAACAGTCGCATATGATCCACTGTTTCCTGAAATTGAGGATCTGTGCAAATACATTAATGCTCCATCTTTGTAATCAGTATATTTGCAGCTTTATGTACCAGGTGTGCAATGTAGAAACAGCTGTACATAGTGAAATTTAACTGACTTAGTTGGGGTGTACACTAGTGTCTTTGTACGTTTAAAGGACAATATCATCTGATAGAAAAAGTATACTCTAGACTGTTGTGTGGAAATTGTTTTAGTTAATGGATATTTGCTGTGTTTAAGGGTAAATATGGGTTAAAAGTTAGTTTATAAATATTTATTGCATTCAGAATGGACACATTGTTCATGAAGTGTTTTAGTTGGAACAAATTTAGTTTGATATTGACCCTTTATTATTGAACCCTTTATTATCGAACCCTCCATGGAGCCACACTGTCTAGAACATTTTCTTTTTTTAAAAAAATACTGTAAAAGATGGCCACCTTAGAAAGAGACAGCCTTGATTTTTATGTGCTAAATCATATTTGGCATTGCACTGTCATCCTGCCCTTTTGGAATGACACAGTCAGTCTCTTATGCCCTTAACATAATCCTTTGACTCTGGCCTCTACAATCCTGCACCTTCACACAAGAAAACAGACCCTTCTGATGTTAAACGAAAAATACAGTGTTTGCCCTATTAACCTTTTGTATGACATTGCATATGCACTTATCTGTCATGTGTAAAGCTGAGGGCATAGTTTCAAATGCTGATGCATGATATTTAGGGATATGCTGTGTCTGCATCTGGCACACTGTTGGCTAAAATAGCTTTAGATTTTAATCTACCTCAGCTAGCGTTGTGACAGCGGCTCCAAGAAAGCTGTCACTGGGACTTGTGTAATTTTGCATGCCATCTAACATCCTATGCTGATAATTTGCTTGAAAAAAACAAACATTATTTGTTATTTATGTAAAATAGAATCATGTTGTTATATTTAGGTGAATTATAAGTAACTTTAATGTTAGATTGATATGATCTTATAATGATAGTTAAGGTTTCCTGCTCCAAAACAACATTTGATATTTAGTTTTTACATTTCCACCTTAGCCCAGTGATATCCTGCAACTAGCCAAGCAACTACAATTAAGATGAATTGGAATGCTAATCGATTGCTTTCTCCGGGTTTTATAGATCTCTCTTTACACTCATATCAGAAATCCAACCATTTACAGTTTATTTAGTGCAGATTTTATTTCAAACGATGGTCTATTTGTGCTTGCAAGCTTTCAGATCCATCCTACTGTATATGAAACTCTTATTTACAAAAGAGAAATTCAATTTCGTAAATGACCCCTTTAAAGAACAAAGAGTGTTCTGTTGTCTTAAATGCAATAATGGGTTGACCAGCACTGATTACTGTCTGCTGTGTTTCCTCATTGTTCCTGGTGGTAATACGCTGGTGCCCAGCTGTGCCCCAGAGGGTTCTGTGTTTTCTCTGTGGGACTGAGCTTTCTATGACAAGTCATTAACACGAAACAATGCTCTAATGGTTTACACTACATGGCCATGATCACCACACACACACACACACACACACACACACACACACACACACACACAGTTTATCCAACGCATTTTCATCCTTTGGCGTCATATAGGTGACGCCATATGACATTTCGTCGAAATACTACGCACATGGTAGCCTGACTTCGTCATACTCATTTTCTAATAAGATACCGCTCCGTTGGGCTTTGATTATGAGGCGTGTCTTAACCGAACCAGGAAAATAAAAACCTCTGCACTCAATTGGATAGTCGGTAAACCTACAACCAATCAGAGCAACGCAGTAAGTCAACTCCTTTGCATAGCCCAGTTTTCAACTACAGAACTTACTTATTTTAGAAGTTAAATAACGAGTGTTGCTTCTTTTACTTACTTCTCCATGAGTGCGACCAAAGGAGAAACCACAACGACCACAGGCTTTTCATTATGTCCCATCTTCTTAGCGACCGTCAGAGCCAGCTGATAAGTTACACTTTTCCCGAATCATGTTGGAAGGACGCCAAAAACATCTTTTCGATCGACAAATGCCTTAATTGCAGTTCTCTGTTTGTCTATTAAAATGAATGCGCTGTCGATTTATTTTACAACAGATGCAACAGCGGAATCTATACATCTCAATTCTCCCGCTGCAGTCATCTCTGAGGGAAATCAGTTAGTGCTCTTTGATAACGTGATGATTACGTCCTTGCAGATCATCTGTCCATCATCGTATAAAGCCCGCCCTGGCAATTTGATTGGCCCGTTCATTTCTTGCCTGAACATAATTTCTCCTCAATGGATCGAGTCCAGACCGAACTTCCCGACCAAAAAATGTTGTGGGCGGAGTTCGGGCTGGCATCCAGGCTACGCAAATGGCACCCTTTAGCATCAATATAACATGCACTGTTATGGGTAGGTTTAGGTCTGGGGTAGGGTCTGCGTCTCATATTGACGCTAAAGGATGCCACTCACCTGCATGATGCCTTGGGTTCTGCATGTTATATTGACGCCAATCGGGTTCCATGTGCATAGTATTTCGACCAAATGCCA